ACACACACACACACACACACACACACACACACACACACACACACACAATGATTGGTCAGGCCTTCAGGGGACCAGAGATGCTCACTAGAGTTAGCCTGACTTGGTATCACATCCGCTCTGTTACTCAACACTGTGGTACTCGTGTCCTTGTAAACACCACAAGAGCTACAGTCCTGGCTCTGGCGCACGGTGAGACAAAACATGGATGCTTTTCAGTCTCAACATTCTTTTTTTGTGTGTTTTGTTCTCCTTCTTATAGGCGGGTAAGAAAAAGGGTGTGGCTGTGGGACTACTGACTACACATCGAGCTTGAGTTTTGTGATTTCTCAGTGCAGACTTGGTCTCTAACATGGAAAAACAAGAAGGTGTTATACTGAACCCAATGATCTCTCACTCCCTCCTTCCCCCATCTTCCACATGCTCTTTACTAAACAGCAAGCTAAACACAGTTTCATCAAACTAACAGGAAGAAGTTTATGACAACTACTGACATAATTAAGTTTTCTTTGCAAGAACAAAAAAAAAAAAAAAAGATACACATGCACACACATTCTGACACTTGGAGGCGCGCAAACTGTATGCACTTGCAACACTGCCAGACGTTGTGTATCAAAATAAAAAGGGGGTCAACTAAACCAACAGCGACTCTGAAGACCTGCGTGAGATTTCCTGTCACTTTTCAAAGGGAGCTCGAAAAAACATGACCTGCACTTCCTGTGTTCAGCTACATTAAAAACAGGGTTCTGAAGATGGATGAGGAGCTGCCGTGATTTTCTAGTCTACAGGATAAGACTATTAAAACCAGGCCACCGCTGTGATACTTTTCCACCAGCCCGCTGTGTGATGGGTTGTTTCTCGCAGGGCATGATCCTGGAAGGGAGTGTTCATTACTATGTACATGCAGCGCACAAGGGTTTCATTCTCCATCGGATCAATTCTATGAATGCTTCTAATGACCAAGATGTACAGAGCCAATGAGGCTTTTCCTCCAAAGAAAATAAATAAAAGCCTATCAATCTAAAACCCGTTTGGTCCACATTATAGAAGGTTTTTGGATAGGCTTTAATGCTCTGCATGTCAGTCTTCTAAACAGGTTTATTCCTCTTTTTCTACATTTTTATGGCCAAAATCCCAGAAGGCGTAAAGCGCACTCCTCTAAACCAGTGTTTCAAAGTCAGCACAGAGAGCAGAGGAGTCAAAGATGAGGTGCATGTGCACTGTGTTTGTGAAAGTGAGTAAAAGATCGCGCTAAAGAGCCGTCATGGCACCAGAAACAAGTCAATAGAAACAGCTGACCCTTAAATAAAGCATCAACTAAAAAAAACGGTAAAAGCGCAGGCTGAACAGGACGAACGTGAAGAGAGTTGAGCTCAGAGTGTCATGTCAACAGACAGAGAGATATGGCAGGAAGTCTAAATTCACGACTATGTGACAATAATTAATGTAATCAGTCCGTCTGACAAGAAGAAACTAATTACTGTTGGTGTCAAAACACACAAATTTAGCCTGGACATTTCAGGGGGTCACCAAGCTGAGCTGATCAATAAATGGTTTATTAAGCCAACCCCCTCATTGAAGCGGGTTAGTATGTTGAGATCGCATGCTGTTCGGCATACAGGTTATCAAAATACTGGCCTCGTGCTGGTTGAGCGCGTCATGTAAGAAGGGAAACGAGCGACAAGGAAACTCTGCTTTCTTTCCTTCTCCTGTCGGCCAGAACGTCACTCGCCCCTCTCTCCTGGAGCCCCCCCCTCCCCCCATGGAAACCATATAAAAAGACAAAAAAATAAAATAATAAAATCAAAATACATACATCATTATCTTTCCCCGAACACCATATCCCCGTCCCACCCCCGTCTCTCCTCTTTTAACTGAACAGCTCCATTAATAGTGTTTTCAATATGAAACAGTGGACACACCCATGTCAGATTCTAACATTTACATGGCTTTAGGCTTTAGCGCAGTCTGACTGCTTCCCATCGAGCGATCGTTCAGAGAGAACGGGAGGAAGTGCGAGGAAGGAGTAGAGAGGGAGGCAGAGAGGGACAGAGGGAGGCTTCTGCTCCAAAACAGAGGGTGGAGTATTAGTGATGCCATCTGTCCTCCTCACTACTTCAGGATTAGATGGAGTCCTTCACCAAGTTCATCTGGGAGAAGAAGACAAGTGTTGGTGGGGGGAAGAACATTAAATTCTTGTCAAACAAAAAAGGATCTACTGAGCCTCGGTACAGTCCGAATCAAAGGCCACTGATGCATTATGAGCTCACCTTTGACAGTGCTGATCAAAAAACAGCTCTCGTCAGGCAAGTTGTAAACCATCTAGAAACAACAAAACAAACAGTGAAATGTGTTCATCAGATGTCTGACATAAAAGCAGGAGTGAGGCAGTACAGCACAGATGTAAATCACATGTAAATAAGTGATATCTGAATTGTTGTTCCTGGTCACACAAAGTAGTGACGCACATGTTATTTCTTCCTCTGTACAGAGTGAGTGAGTCTCAAACCCAGTCCTGACATGTACCCATGACCCTATCCACCAATATTACAATGTTTAATAGATAACAAATCAATATTTGAGAGACAGATTTTCCAATTGATAACATCCCTCTATATAAAGAGCCCTCCACGGTTGAGTGTGTGATACTCCTAATACTGAAGCTGAGAGGAGCAGTGTGTGTGTGTGTGCGCTGGTACCTGGTCACTGAGCAGGATGTGTATGCCTGTAGGACCCTGTCTGTACACCTGGTTGATGGTTCCCAGTGGAAGGCAGCACACACACGCCATCTTGCGGATCAGTTCTGCAGCTGTGAGGTCCTCTAGGTACAGAGCATGATACACTACACAGAAACAGACCAGGAGAGATGTTAATATTCTCTCACTCACTCACTCACTCACTCACACACTCACACACTCACACACACACACACACACACACACACACACACACACACACACACAC